ACGTGGTCTGGCAGAGGTGAATTAGCGCGTGCACAGTGGACATGGGGCCACTGAACACGGTCAAAGGGATTCGTATTCTACTCCGACCACGAAGAAGTACACGTATCGATGTTTCGGATGACTGGCCTTGCTCAGGAGACAAAAACAAACAAGTGGCTCGTGGTGACGTGGTGCTCTCTTGGCCGGTGCGCGTCCTCGCGGCGGTGCGCGCCTCAGGGGGAGGCGGTGAGTGCAGCGGTTAGCGCGCTGCGCTACGAGTCACCGTCGGAGACGATTACGTGAACCGGTGATGAGCCTCCACTAGGTCGACTCAGCGTTAAATTCCCTCCTGGCGCGGTGTGTAAATGTCAGTGATGGGGAAATGAAGACGAGCGTGTCGGCCTTCGAAGGTGCTGGCACTTGTCCCCACAGCCTGTGCAGATGACAAGGGGATGTTTGTCGTTGTAGGCATGTAGCCCACATGCCCAAATCAGCTTCTATTCGGTGGGATAGATGGGGCATAGGCTAGAGAATAGATGGACTGATGGGGTACAGAAGGATGTGGAACTGATTGGACTTGCTGATGACCGGTAGCAGCAGTGTCTCAAGATTGGCCTCTGTGGAGGAGGCTCGTGAAGGACGCTGCTAAGGTGTTGGAGGCAGTCGCCCTCCAGCAACAACGGAGGGCAGAGGAGCGACGCTCACAACAACGAGCAGAGCGCCAGGTTGCTAAAACGCAGAGAGTTGGCACAGTGGGGAGCACAGGTGGTGCATCTGACAGTCGTCTCAGTCAGTCAACCCATGCCACCTGGGTCTGTTCCGTGACCTCCTGCCAGCGGATCTTTGACACTTCACGTGGCCGTGGCGACGTCACCCCTGAGTGATGAACTACGGTTGTTGTTTTGTGCGCGTGACGAGACGTGTCCCCTCTTTCATTTCCTGGATGATGCCACGTTTCCAGGGCGCATTTAAAGCCAAACAAACACACAACACCCGCACACACACATCTCTTGCAAATATCCAGCCACCACACCTCGGCTGCCCACGCCAGCGAGAAGATTCGGCAATGATTCACCGTGCCAAGGTAGCACCGTGCTGTTAATCCACCACCGGAACTTCAAAACCTCCCCTTCTTAAATTCGAAACTCCACATCCGAGTCTGGCTTTGCTTGAAGTTGGCGGCTTAAGGGCTGAGATCTCATGATATGCCAGTGCCTACAGCACACGACCACAACACCTACGGGTCGTCGCCCTCTCTTATTAACATAATAGACTTCGAACCCCTTCATTTTCATAGCCGGGCAGCAGTTAATTTGAAACTCTGCCACACGACGGGCCGAGAGCCAAGCGAACTCGGGAAGAAGAGACGGGGGTGGGTGGGGGGGAGTCTGTCCCCGCTCGTGATGGAACATTTGTGAAGTCCTGGAGGGGGAGGGGTGAAGTCGCTAGGGGGGGCCCGCGCTTTGGGACCTGTGAAGGATGTTGCATCGTCAGATCCAACTAGGGACCCCCACTCCGTGTGTATGCACGTGTTCTCGAGATGAACCTGTGGTTAAACTCTAAGTAATCTCCTGCTGCTCAAATGGACATCGACGCGATTCGCATCTCCTGCTTACAGGCCCTGCAGAGGGGGTCGTGGAAATTCCACATTTCTATAGTGGAGGCAAGTATCTCTATAGAACAACCACTGTTGACTTCCCCACAAACTGGTAAGCACTTTATCGACCCTGGAACGATGATGGGCCGAGTCAACCCCCCGAAACAGGATTTTAACTCGCAACCTTCTTGTGGCGAGCCACCCACTCTACTGCTGGGTCAGCTGGCCAGTGGTAATGATGGTGTGGTAGTGATGGTGTGGTAGTGATGGTGTAAATCAGTGGTCGTGACGGTGTAAATCATGGCTGTGGAGGTGCTCGTGGTGGTGGAGGAGCGGCAGTGTAGCGGTCAGCGCGCTGCGATACAAACCCAGCGACACGAATACAATTCCTGGGCCTCCCCTAGGTCGACTCAGGCTCAAATAAGTACCTGGTGTGGTGTGTAAATATCGCCACTTGGGAGACAAAGGCGGTCGGGCGTGATGCTGGCCACCCACCCTCTTCGTGTGCTGTTCCGGTTTTCATAGGTGCTCGCTAACAGCACTTGCCTTCTCATGGCGAGCCACCCAACAGTCTGTTAAGGCTATACGTGGGATCTTTGTCTTCGTGTTTGGAGGAGTTATTTTTATGTTGGGAGGGACACCCACATCGCTCGAGAACTCAACTGCTGGTACCGCAGGAGTCACCGATCACCTCCGTGTGGGTTGTCAACTCCAATGGGAAGGAACCGGTCGACCGGGGCACTCAAGGCTCCGTGACGGCGCGCAGCCAACCCAGGGCGTGGCAGCGCGTGGCAGCGTTGTGCGGCGAAACTCAAGAGCTTCAGGGCTGGAGAGGTGACAAGTGACGGGAATTAGGTGCTGACGTCAGCTTGTGACTGTTGTCTCTTTATTGCGTGGGTCGTCTCAGAGCGCTCTGGTTTCTTCCATTTGCAAAAACAACAATAAGAATACTTACTCTTTGGTTCTTTCGGTAAAGTCACGTAGGTAAAAATATAAAAAATAGATCACGACGTTTCGGTCGCAACAAGCGACCGTCTGTTTGTTGTTGCGATCGAAACGTCGTGATCTATTATTATTTCTACCTACGTGACTTTACCGAAAGAACCAACGAGTATGGATTCCTGTAGTCACGAAAGCTTCAAATCAACAATAAGAAGTTATATCAACAGCCCGAATCGAGGAGCAAGGGGTGGAATATGCAGAGCAGTATCGGTTAGCACACACTGTAACGAACTCAGCGACCTGAGTTTGATTCACAACCGTCAATAACATCAGCTTGATTCCTAACCGTGGATAAAATCAGTGGCGAGTGATATCTGAGCCGATGCTGTGCACCCCCTTCATCACCATCACCAACCAGCAACTGAGCAGCACGCAGAAATCTAATCAAGCATCACTCATGCCCAATCTGTTGTGGGGAAGCCTTCATCCAGCAGTTGATTGACCAATGACTATAAAATGTTAATTCACTTATCCTGATCCAGGACCCTACTGAAAATAATGATTGAGAGTGAGTGAGGTTTTGTTGGACAGAGGAAAGGGCACTTGGTATAGGAGACAGAACTGTCAATGGGTGCCATAACCTGTGGCTTGATTTATGGAGGAAGGACCACGTGCCTGAGATGGCCCTGACTGGAGAAGATGAACGCAGTTGTAGAAACTTTTAACAGCGGAAGTCCCACAAACTGGAATGCGCAGCACATATGGCAAAAAAAATATATGGAAAATAACAAAACAATACTTAGCTTGTCAAGTAGTGCAATTTTTAATCGAGGATTTTTCTAAATTTAAAATCAAATAAAAAAGCATGGCACACAAAGGTGCATCGGTAAAAATTACGTAAAATATTAACAGGGTGGTGGTTCGGTGGAAAACTCAGTAATTGTTGTGCCATAAATAATGCAGGCTGCTGGATGAGTGGCACACATGAAATCGCCAGAAGCCCCAGTTGAGTTTCATTTCAGCTGCGTCTGTCCAGGTTAGAGACCCAGAAATGAATTCCACCTCCGGCACACTACATCCATTATAAATATCTCGGTATGGCTGTGGATACTACGAGTTTGGGTACCGCTTACTCCAGTCAAACAGCGGCCCGGGCAATATTCTGAGAAATTAAGCCGTGGCTACAAGCATCACTCACCACGCAGTGGCTGGCAGCTACCTCATAAAAAAGCAGAACTCTTAAATATTTCTTAACTCAACAGGCTATCCTCAGCACGGGCAACAGGAAGCTTGCCAGTTATGACAAATCTGTTTCTAGTCTACCAACATGTGTCTCTCTTTCAAGGGGAACTGCAGATTCGTTTTACAGAATTGAAAGGCGATGTTTTGAGATGACGGTTTTACTTTCTCCATGTTTTAAATTACATTTTCCAATCGTTTCTATCATTTATTAAATTGCAAGGATATAAAGTCGTGCCCCACAGGCAGTACATCTCCTCCCAAAGGCCTTAATAATGTGGCTTATCCCACGACACTGTCCAGCACATCATTATAATCCTCATTTAGCCAACGCAAAACGGGAAATAATTATCACCGTCTCAGTGGGTGGGGGAGCACGTGCCCAGTAGATTGTGTGGCTTTGCATAATAGCGTGTGTCCATATCACGCGGTGTAGCAGCAGCTGTAGCTGACAGCCAGATGGCTGTGAAGTGCTGCTGCTGATGCTGCAACACCGCACCAGGGTGTCGCACAGCCTGCGGCGGTGGCGGCAGTGGTCATGGCACGGCACAGTGAGTGCTTGAGAACAAAACAGCCTCTGCTAATTCTGCCCACCAGAGAAAAGCAAGCCTCTAAATCTAGAATAAAAATTGACATTAGGAACCTCTAGAGATTGTTATGGCAACTTGTTTTTTTATTCAAGAATAGAGACAGACCCTCTCCACATGAGTAGTGTGTGAACAGTGTGGCACTTGAGTGAGTATAAAGACTACAATTTTAAACCATTTACACAGAAGTAGCAGGCTGGACAGGATGCTGTAGGAAATGTTTTCTGCCAATTCGTACAAAGCCTGAAGATGTGATCGCAGTTGGAGGTCCACTGCATATTTAAAAGAACACGTAAAAATACGAGAAGAGACTTGAGCACGCTTCAGCACTGTGCTTCTGCGACCGAGGAAAACCCTGACCAAGCCATGAACCAGCACGGTGAAGCACACACAAACGTCAGAAAACCTAATGAGGCACGGCAACAACAGCAATCTGTTCAGCCTTAGCCCGAGCCACACTTGTAGATCTGTAGGTTGCCATTTCACCAAGCCATCGACAAGGTAGAGTGCAACGGCACTCTACACATAATAAGATCAGCTCAGGAAAATAATTTTTCGTGCAGTGGCAATTCAACGCAAAAGTGCAAACAAGAATGACGACGCAACTTTATAGGTGCCTTATAGCTACCAATAACCTTTGTTATCTATACGCCTAGCCCCTACGTGACGTAGTTCAGGGTAGGCCCAGTGTGGCACGGCGTGGTCCCACTAAGGCTGCTCGGGGTAGCGCGTGAGGTCCACGTGCACGGCGCGCGTCGGCTGACCGGCGGGGCCGCCCCGAAGGCCGGCCAGGTAGACGCTGGGCCTCGGCACGTCGGTGGCGCCCTCACGCTTGGTCTGCGTGCCCACCTCACGCGGGAGGTACACCTGAGTGGCGCCGTCCCTCCGCAGGTGGCTCAGGTCCGTCTGCGCCGAGTGCGTGGCCTTGCGCCGCAGATTTGCCTGCCGGGGAGGTGGAGACACTCATCACGGTTACACGACGCGTGGTGGCGCATGCCCGTGACCCGGCGATTTGGAGGCGCCGGGTCATGGATCCAACTCCTGGACGCGCTGGGCTGTGAGGTGGCTAGATGACGGTAGCACGATGAGTGGATTTGGCAACCCTCCGTGTTATCGCCTCTCATGTTTATTACCCGCGTAAACAAATAAAATCAACCAATCAAAAAATGTATCAAACTAAACTAAACTATTAATATATTTTTATTTCACCAGGTAAGGCCCACTGAGCTTCATAGCTCTTTTTCAGGAGTGACCTGGCCACAAATGATAGCTCAATGAAGTGGCTTATCATGTGGATATTTAGAGCAGTCAAATACTCTAAACGCATGTTGATAATAAATGTGGAGGGAAAAACCGGAGGACCCGGAGAAAAATCCACACAATCACGGGGAGATAGACATGCAAACTCTAAGTATACAGGCGTCAGGGTCGGCATTGAACCCACGACCTCCTGCATACCAAACAAGGGAATTAACATCATGCCACCTCTGAGTATGCTCGCTTCCCCTCACATACCAAGCACTTCCTAAAAAAAATGGATAAACATTCCAATGTAGGACTCTTCTGAAAGAGTAATAATTCCACCTCCGGCACACTCTCTGAGGCTTTACAAGTAGAATAAATCAGTTATTGTATTTGAAATAATAAAATGTACACAAATAATACGAGCAGTGACAACACTGTTTGAAGGTTATACTAGTGTAGTTTATTACAGAAGTGTTATTGCAATAACTCTACAACATTTCGGAAAGAAAACAGAAGCTGCATTTCTCCTGTGATGAATCACAAAGGCCTTTATCGCCAGTGCCCAAGCAAACCACGCACGGCCATGAGGCAATATTGATTGGTGTCACGCTGTGTACCAGTTTAATGGCCTTGCGCCGGAGCTCCCATTCGTTCCACTCGTACGACCTCACGATGCTGGACTCCAGGATGTGCGTGTCCGTCTGCGTTCCACTGTCGCACTTGGTGATGGGCGTCTCGGCGGGGCCGCCCTGCTCCCGTGTCTGCGTGACCACGACGCCACCACGCCGGGCCGCATCACCAACGCAAGTCACACTTTCCCGAGAAAACGCGACGGGCACCGTTGCGGTTTCAAAACACGACACCCTCTACCCACTTGTAGTCCCGAGGGCAAAACGGCTGACGCGCACACACACGTGCGTCTGGTTTTCCCATTTGCATATCGGAAAATATATATTCTGCTCATTATGCTTTCGTGCTGTTTTATTTTTCACAGAACGTCAAAAAAAATGTGAGCCAGACCTTACGCCAGACGGTGTTTACCCGGGAGTAGGGCGTAATGACTGCGAACTGCTGGTGTAGTTCCAGCAGCTGAATGAGCTCTGCGGAGCGCCTGGCTGCCTCGGCCACCATGCCGACGAAGTGGTCCGGGTTGCTGGCGAAGGCGCACGCGGCCTGCTTGGAGGAGAAGGTGTAGAGCTTCTCCCTGTGCCTCAGAACTCCAATGTTTGTGTTGCCTGCAAGGTCACGGTATAAAAGACAAAGTACAAACATTCCCGAATAGCCTTAACAGACTGTTGGGGCAAGAGCTATTAGTGAGTAGCACTTATGAAGGTCGGCATGGCACACGAGGGGAATGGGTGGCCACGACCACGCCCGGCCGCCTTCATCTCCTGAGTGGCGATGTTTACACTTTGCAGCAGGTACTCATGTGAGGCTGAGTCGAGCTAGAAGAGGCCCAGGACTGGTTCAGATAATCGTCACTGGTGTTGGCCGTAAGTGGGAATCACACTCAAGTCGCCATGTTTGTAGAGCAGCTCGCCAACGCTCCCCACAGCACGACACACACGTGCACGAGCACAGAGAAGGGTCCGGGATATCAGTGTTACATGTGTGTCTGCTCAGGCATGCTTACTGACTAAATAAGACTGACTAAATAAGACAAAATGTACATAAATGTGTACGACAGGCACAAGCAAACAGCAAGTCCCTTGAGCCAGCACCAACAAAGTAGAGAGTGAGGACCTGGCAGAAGCAGTGTGTCTCTGGCGGCCAGCGTGTACGCGCAGAAGCCCCGATACTGGATGGGGAGGCGGTCCAGGTTTCGTGTGGTCTTGGGGAACAACCACTCCTGGCTCTTGAAATCGGCTGGGTTTACCTGGTCACCTGTTAATCAAATAAGTTCATGCAATGTGTAAGCATATACTCTATATAAGGCATATTGTTTAAGTTATTTACTTCCACCAAAAAAATACAGAATGTAACCTATCATCGTATGCAGGCCACTGCTATTGTTTTACAAATGGACATCATTACCCTCGAGTGCAGAAAGACAGAATCAAACATCAATTGGAATTTTATTTCCCAGCTCCTCTGGCCAGCAGAGTAAATGATTTCCACTTAGTTTGCACAAGAGAAGAAAGTCACCTCAGCCATTGTATGCCACCACACGCTGGACCTGACGCAGCATCATTTATCGTTGGCGGTTCAGTAGGTGGGACCACAACAACATACGTCCCCGCCGGGGAACAGCAGCCGGCACAGTTACACTTCCCAGAAGGGAAGTTCAGACAAACGCACGTGCGATTCCGCCAAATTCAAACAACAGACTGGTCCAAGTTGAATGGCTCACCCGCGGCCTCCTGCAGCCTCTGAGCATCGCTCTTCTCAGCGATGCTGCCCACGAGCGGCACCAGCAGCGTCTCTGGGCACAGGCGGCCGTGAGGCTCCAGGAAGGGCGTCAGGTTGGTCATGACGTTGCTGAGGACGCTGAGCAGCACCATCTGGTCCTGGAAGCTGCACCAAACCCGCGCCACCGCCATGAAATGAGGCTGCACATTCCACACAGTGCAGGGTGTGGGGGGGGAGGAGAGGGGTGGCGGCGGAGAGGTGGGAATGAGGGTGATCTGCAACACGCAGCGTGGACAGCAGGGTTGATGTAGTCAAAATGATAATTGGCTGTGTATAAAATATTTGTCAAATTCAGATTGGCTCACGTGATCACATTTGGGAGGGTGGATATTTTGCATGCCCCCTCACACCAACATCTAATGACTGAGAGTGGACTATTTAGTTTTTTGTTTTGTCTTCGTCATCGTCTAGTCGATGACAGCCTGTGGATTTCTAGTGGAGGCTTAGTCTGTGGAGTCATTCTTTTAGTCTAGTCGAATAAAGCAGTGAAACATTTAGTCAAACACTCTTAGTTGTTACATGGGGCACCGCAGTGGCGAGACGTTAACTACCTCGCCTAGTATACAGGTCGTGGGTTTGATCGCGACCCTGACGCCTGTACATGGGTTTGCGTGTCCTCCCCGTGGTCACGTGCATTTTTCTCTGGGTCCTCCGGTTTTTCCCTCGACATTTTGAAATATGCATTTAGAGTATTTGGCAACTGTAAATTTCCACATGATAAGTCACTTTGTAGAGCTATAATTTGTGGCCAGGTTGCATCTGAAAATAACTGTATATATCAATGGGCCTTACCTGGTAAAAAAAAAGTGTTAGTATGTTGGTGTGGGGGACGAGAAATTTCACCCCCATACCCCTCCTAATATTATTATCTCAGCCAGTGAACTTGGTAATTATTTGCATACCGTAATCCCTTGCCAACCACAAAATTACCAACTGTGAGATTTGAGTATACGCGGATGTACTTCTGTATACCTGATTACCAACTACTCTTTGGTTCTTTCGGTAAAGGTCATGTAGAAATAAAATTAATTAAATAATAGAATATGACGTTTCGATTGCAACACAAGCAGTCGCCATCAGGTAGAACTAAATTTGAGAGAGATAAAACACAGACACGGAGACACACAGACAGACACACAAGCAGAGAGACAACACAGAGACACGCAGAGAGACACACAACATAGACACAGAGAGACCCAATGCCTCTGTGTCGTGGCCTTAAATAGAGAGTGAGGGGGGGGCAGAGAGAGAGGTGGGTCTGCTGGGGCAGAGACATTGTTAGCGTGTCAATGAGAGAGCTGTGTGAAAATCCACCCCGCAGCGGCAGGGGGAGAGAAAGACCCAGCAAGTCTAGTAAAAAAAAATAGAGAGAGTTGCCCGAAGCGGCCGGGGGAGAGAAAGAGCGAATTGTACCTATGAGAGCCTGGTAAATTTTAGAGAAATAGGCAATTTTTTTTTGCCCCACCCACCCCCCTCTCTCTCACTACACGGAGACATTGGGTCTCTGTGTGTCTATGTTGTGTGTCTCTCTCTCTCTGTGTCTCTGTGTTCTCTCTCTCTGCTTGTGTGTTTGCCTGTGTGTTTCTGTGTCTGGTTTTGTCTCTCTCTCAAATTGTGTTCTCCCTGATGAGGACTGCTTGTGTTGCAATCGAAACGTCGTATTCTATTATTTAATTTATTTTCTTTCTACGTGACTTTACCGAAAGAACCAAAGAGGAATTCCTGCAGTCACGAAAGCTTCAAATCAAGTTTGATTAGCAATTGTTTGAGAATACGCAAGTTTTAGTAACCTGCAAATTTAGAAACCGTGAAATTGAGTATACACGATTTTGAGTCTATACGCCAGTTTGCGTAAACTGCAAATGTACCAACTGTGAGATTTGAGTATACGTGGATTTACTTCTGTATTCCGGTTTACCAACCGCGAGCATCTCGGTTTGAGTGATACGCGAATCGCGAGTCGCGCAATCAAAATTGGCGCTGCTGCATGTACCATCCGTCAAGTCTCGCAAACTCTTTTGAGAAATTCGAAGCACCTCTGGGTCTGTAACTACCCAATCCTCTTTCTTCTCCACGTTGCTACCTCCGCGAACAGTCAGATTCACGCTCCATCTCACGAAATATGTGGATATTTTATGTTTTGTGATTTGTGTATTACTGTTTTGTGCTTAAATATCACATACTGTACGAATATTGCGTGCCACTCTGTGATATACATTTTTTCATAAATATGTATTATTTGTTAAGTATGGCACCAAAGCGTATGAGCAAGTGTTGGTGATGGAAGTGCCACACCATCATCATCAAAGGTAAATGCAATTTAATTTACTGTACTTTTCTTAATTAAACATGTCTTAAATGTCACTGAAATTCTCTTTATTTAGTGTGCTGTGTTCATTCGTTAATTTTAGTGAACGTAAATAATATTTAGATGGGATTTCATAGGTTCACTCGTGACCTCGGTCCCACTAACCCTATTCTTCCCGTAAGTTTACCAACTGTGAATTTACCAACTGCGGGGGTTTTCAGGAACCTAAGCCTCGCGGTTAGCAAGGGAATACTGTATGCATATACCTCCTAAGTGAGTTGCCGTCTCCGTAACATGAGTCATATTCTTTGGTCTTCGTTCAAACTCGTTAATTTAATCTCATTATAGTTGCACTTTGGCCTATGGTGAGTAGTCGCAGTCATCGTCACGCCGGGTGACTTTTGTCCACTTGTAACCATGGTTCAGTAAAATAAAAGACTCCGTTGATGAAAACTTTCACGACCAATTTCTTTCGCAAACACGGCACCGAAGGCGTGCTGGACGTACGTAGACTTGCGTTGTGGGCACGGCCTGCTTGGCCTGGATGATGCCCTGAAGCGCGTCCATGTGAGATGCCAGCTGGCTCTGCAGAGACTCCACCTCTCCGGCCGATGTGATCATGTCTCCCTGTCGGCAAAAACCCAGGGCAATGATGCAATTGACAGAAGGTGCAAAGGCGGTGTTTCTCAGACCCCAGTCCTCGCGGGCCGCACACGATGCAACTTTACGTGATCGCTAATATTTTTCCGTTCACTTGTTAAAGGGGGCCACTACACATTGCACACTAACGATGGCTGGTAATGACAGAATGGTGCACCGTGAGGTTTGTGAGGGCTGGAGATCGATAAAAGGAAAAATTTAAGAAGCAATACCATTCATACAGCTGCGAAATTTATTATTTATCATATATTCGTAAGCAACATTTCACACCGAAATCAATCCAACATTTAAATAACGTGATTAAAAGGTTATCATTATAAAATATGAAACACATGTTTGGCTGTCAATATTTTAACAAGCAAAGGTTGATTAGAGAGCACCTATGAAGGCCAGAACGGCTCATGAGGGGGTGGTTCGCCAGCACCTCGCCCGGACACCTTTGTCTCCCTCGTGGCAATGTTTTTACAAATCGCACTAGGTACTCAATTGAGGCTGAGTCGACCTAGGGGAGGCCCAAAACCGGTACAGATAATCGTCACTGGTGTTGGCCGTAATCGGGAATCGAACCTCGAGTGTCCGGGTTCATAGCGCAGCACGCTAACCGCTACACTACCGCTCCCCACCACACCCCACAGCGTCACAAACACAGGCTCACGATACCCTCCCCCCCCAACTTCCTACCAACAATATCTTGAGGAAGCACTCGTGCTGCCGACAGTTGAACAACAGCTCTCTGAGGGTGTCGGGGAATATGCCGGCCCGGACCAGCTGGTCGGCCGGATCGGAGCACTGCTCCAGGATCGCGGTGTAGCGGTGCGCCAGCTGCCGTGTGCTTCCCAGCTCCGCGTCGAGGTGCTTGGTGGCGGCCGGGATGGCCTCGTTGAGGATGGCCGGCACTAGTTGTGACGAGGCGTACACCGTACAAATGCGCTGTTCACTCTGTGTTCTATTTGACCCACTCAAAGGCACGTGTGCAACACATTTAAGGAATCTCTGTTCCAAATTAACGCGAACCACGTGAGACTATCAACAACATGATTACGTTGTCGTCGGAAGTGAGGGAAACAGGGTTTGGTAATAGTTCACAGAACTCACAGTCATCGATGCCCTCCCCTCCCTTGCCACATTTCTTGTTGAATAGGCGGATGCCCGTGGTGATGAGGGAGAGCTCCGTCAGCTGCTGTTCCTTTTCTTTTTTTGTCATGGCCAGGAAGGTGCCCAGGTCCGTCTGTGGAAAAACGCTCTGCAGCGCCGCTGCACAGCACACAACGGCACCCGTCATTATTGAAATATGGCTGCTCTTTGCTTATTCAAGCTCTTGTCTGTTTCTGTGCTAAGGCTCCAAAATGTTGCTCACAGCAGGGTAAGATAAATAGCAGGTCGTTGACATCTGGCCTCATGCATTCCAGATGTCACACGTGAAAAAGTAAACTTTGGCCTTTGCAGTATGAAAATGGGCAACATCCCTAGCTGGACCATCATCAAAGAAGTGGGACCAATTATTGGAACAAATGAAATACTTCAGTCACGAATGAATGATGTCACGAATGAATGATGCCACAATCATTCTTTCTATTCAAGGAGTAGAACTTGCATAAGACGCATTGTCATGCGTCGCAATGGGTGTATGCCATCTCCTGGTCACATAAAGGATAACAAGTGACTAATTTGCCACGGATCACACAAATATAATATACAAAAATTATAAACAGAAGCATAGAAAATATAGAGGCCAAGGTACCATCGACCACATACATACAATGTATCAGATTCTGGACACCACTAATGAATGTCAAACACGATTTTGCTTGGTCAAAGAAGGGAACACGTCTGAGACAGCATCTATCGTGGAGATGGAGCAAGTAAATCAGCTTGTGTATGAGAACTATATGAATGTTATGCATCGTTAGACCATAACGAACGGAAATAGCTTGGGGAGGCCATCATCTTGCAGTGGATAGATCATGGCTGCTGATGATAATGATGACAATGACAACCTCCAGCAATTTCGGATGCAGGTGAATTTAACAGTCACAATTTCAATGGTGCACTTTGAAAACAAGTGATGAGTGAGAATCCAGCCAAGGCGCCCCGTTCCAACGCACAGAAACCAGAGCGCAGTGAAGTGCATCCCTTACCGGTGGCCTCACGGACGACGGCGATGTGCGTGGGAGATCCGAGGCCCGAGGAGAGCAGTACGTAGCTCACCACCTTGCGGTAGAGGGCCTCTAACTCCTCCCGCGAGCGTGCCCGGCTGTCCGTGATCTCACGCTGGATGGGCGCCAGCCTGGTCTCCAGGACGCGCCGGTGCTCCTCAAGGAACTCAGCTGCGCACAAGAGACCAACCGTGCCTCGATTTACCTACGCTTGTTATATTTAAAAAAATAACAATCCCCACAGCACCGATTCACCACTCTCTGGTCTCCTTTAATCCTCTGCCCAATGGCAGCAAGTCCCTGGCTAAAACTCCCTCCATCACTGCCGCCCCCCCACCCACCCCATTCCTTAAGGACGGCAAGCAGCATCTTTCGTTTCCTGCCTCTTGTCCTCCTTCCCCATATCCTGACTTCCAAAGCCTCCTCCATCCAGCTATGCCATCCCACATATTTGGCATCAACGCTCATTATGGCAATCACTGGAACTAGCTTTTGCTAGAGAGTTTTCGTTAGTATACAAAAGCGCAAAAAATGTTTAGTGCGGAATCGCAGACACATAAATAATGTGACGTGGATGTTCTTTTCTGGATGGTCAGTATGTAATGGTATATTTAAAAAGCAGAATTATGACAGCGAATTACTTTCCTGTGGTGTAACTCACCTCGGGTTGTGTAGTTCATGTCAAAATACACCTGCATTTAATGGTTTCCAGCGAAGGGCGGCTATTGTCCAGCAATCGGTCCTCGCATAGCTACATATTTATGTTGGCAAAAGATAAACAGGGCACAGGAATAGCATCAACAATGATTTTTACCGACGGGGGTCTATGACTCATCGTTCATCATTCTCACCACGTTAGGCCATACAATGTACATGTCCGTCCCATCTATATTTAGCATTATTTACACAGCTAACAAGCTGACCATTTTCCTTGACTGCAGTAATTGGTCATTTCTTTTCCTTTTTAAAAAAATATTTGAAAATGTTTGTCCAAAGTACACAGGCAACAGTGAAACCTGTCCACGCATGCCCATAAATGCAATCACACTTAACAATGACTTAAGAACTATACAATGTTTCCTCATCCAATGTCTGTCAACTCCCCGCAGGGCCCTTCAACATTGGCCTCGGTTAAAACCATGTCACCTTCACGCCACTAATTATGCTTGCTTGGCTGGTGCTTCTCAAAGCCCCTTGGCATTGTCACCGCTTATAATAATGGAATTACACCTCCGCCCGCGACACTGGGCGGCCGGCCGCGATCTTCTCTCCACACCTGCTCACGTTCAAGCCACGCGTCTCACGGTGGAGCCAGACCCTGCTCTACCTTGATGAGTTTCTGCACGTCCTCCTTAGTCAACGTACGGTCCACGTTGAAGCCATTGCGGGGGTCAAGAACCACGGCCTTCACCTGCAGACAGCGCAACCAATCAGCTCCGTTGCGCAATGTCTCCTCACAACCTGCTTTCACGACTAAGGTGACAAAGCAGTGGCGTAGCGTAATTGGCGTGGGCTCTGCCGCATGGAATGAAATGGGACCCTCTGTCCAAGTTTTTATGGCCTCTTTCTAGCCCGGAGCCTGCGTCTCTGTGATACTGTGGGCCACTGTACCGGTGTACCGCCTGCACACTCGACACCTACGCCACTGCAAGAGGTCCCCTTTATTAGCAACCAAGCAAGATGTTAGCGGTCAGTCTGTGCAGCATCTATCACAAGGGCACGATAGCGAAGTGTAATGGTGCCAGTGGCATGGGCCGTGATGACCTTTTGACCTTGGCCTAATGTAAATGTCAACAATGCTATTGCCTTGTATACGGAATTATGTACTTGTCCCATGTGCAAGATGAAAACAATTGATCAGATGAGTTCTGCACGGCATACAGCATCTCCATTAAACCACGGCATGGCGCTGTGGTAACGCCAAAGCAGTGTTACTGTACCACGTTTCCATTTGAGTCGACGCTTTTATAATAATCGGTTGTTTATACTGTTCGTGGTGGAAAGTCCACGTATCCGTGGCTGGGACAAGACTTTCCACAGAACAAGTGACATTGAATGTCGACTTCTCTGCACCAATTGGCGCGGCCTCCACCGGGCCGTGATCGTTTAATCCACCCGACAGTCACGATTTGCGTGTACGCACCGTGCACTGTGAACCATGCACGTGACAGTTGTACACACTAACACGTGTACACCCACAAGGACTCGTGTAACAGTGTTACACACACAGGGAGTCGTGCCCACACGTGCACACGATGACACGCTGACACGTGCACACGATGACACGCCTGCATACACAAGTGTACACGATGACACGTGTGTGTACACACACAGGGAGTCGTGTACACACACAGGGAGTCGTGTACACACACACGTGTAAACAATGACACGTGTGTACACACACAGGGAGTCGTGTACACACACACACACGTGTAAACAATGACACGTGTGTGTACACACACAGGGAGTCGTGTACACACACACACACGTGTAAACAATGACACGTGTGTACACACACAGGGAGTCGTGTACACACACGGGTAGTCGTGTACACACACACGTGTAAACAATGACACGTGTGTGTGTACACACACAGGGAGTCGTGTACACACACACACGTGTAAACAATGACACGTGTGTGTACACACACAGGGAGTCGTGTACACACACACACGTGTAAACAATGACACGTGTGTGTACACACAGGGAGTCGTGTACACACACTCACGTGTAAACAATGACACGTGTGTACACACACAGGGAGTCGTGTACACACACAGGGAGTCGTGTACACACACAGGGAGTCGTGTACACACTCACACACGTGTAAACAATGACACGTGTGTACACACACAGGGAGTCGTGTACACACACGGGTAGTCGTGTACACACACACGTGTAAACAATGACACGTGTGTACACACACAGGGAGTCGTGTACACACACACGTGTAAACAATGACACGTGTGTACACACACAGGGAGCCGTGTACACACACACACGTGTAAACAATGACACGTGTGTACACACACAGGGAGTCGTGTACACACACACACGTGTAAACAATGACACGTGTGTACACACACAGGGAGCCGTGTACACACACACACACACACGTGTAAACAATGACACGTGTGTACACACACAGGGAGTCGTGTACACACACACGTGTAAACAATGACACGTGTGTGTACACACACAGGGAGTTGTGTACACACACACGTGTAAACAATGACACGTGTGTACACACACAGGGAGTCGTGTACACACACACAGGGAGTCGTGTACACACACACGTGTAAACAATGACACATGTGTACACACACAGGGAGTCGTGTACACACACACACGTGTAAACAATGACACGTGTGTGTACACACACAGGGAGCCGTGTACGCGCCCCGCACCATAAACGCCACGAGGGTCTCCGACGCCAAGCATCCCCGCGCCGCGCTCGCTTGGCCGATTTCGCGGATGATGTTCTTAATGACGCCCTCCGCCTGCGCTCGCGACATCCTCGCTGCGTCACTGTGATCGGTAGTTGTCTTCTGAAGAAGTTGGCGTCTCGTTGTCGTCGTTGTTGTCGTTGTTGTCGTCGTTGTTGTTGTTGTTGTCGTTGTTTTGTTGTTGTTGTTGTCGTTGTTGTCCTTGTTGTTGTTGTTCTGCTCCTTCTCTGCGGGGCGATTTAACTCTCCTGAGCGACTCTCGGGCTTCTCCTCGCGCAGGCCTCAGAGACGCGTCTCCACGGCAACCCTCGGGCCCGCCACGCCGCCACACCATTGGTCCTTTCGGGGCACGTGACCCGCGCAACCGCCAATGAGGCGGCGATCCGCTCTTTTTAAAAATACATGAAACTCTTCAAATGTGAATTTATAAATTGTTCAGGAAACATTATTTATTAATCTTCATTATCAGGCCGAACTCTTGTCCGCTACATCTTTCTGGAATCTGTATAGATCATGAGCCTTAATACAACAACGAACACACGTAAATCCTAAGGGGCCGTCCATAAATGACGTCACGAACCTGGGGGGGGGGTGAGATTTTGTAACGATGTGTGACGAGGGGGGGGGGGTGAGAAATGTGACGTCACATCAAAATGGGCAACTTTAAATAAATGAAATTTTTATTTAAAGCTTTCGTGACTGCATATTCTTGGTTCTTTCGGTAAAGTCACGTAGAAGGGAAATAATAAAACAATAAAAAAATAATAAAAAAATCCCACGCCGTTTCGACTGCAACACAAGCAATCATTTCTTGCTGTGGATTTCACACCTGATGATGATTGCTTGTGTTGCAGTCGAAACGTCGTGATCATTTTTATTGTTTAATAATTTTATTATTTTATTATTTCCCTTCTACGTGACTTTACCGAAAGAACCAAAAATATAAATATAGAATTGTTAACAACACTCCTACAACATCAGAGTGCAGCGCCACATTAAATACGCACTACAATGACAACAATAGTTTTAAGCGATTGGAAGCGTGTTTTATTTTCAAAATGGAAATATGATTTTGGGGGGGGGGGAGGGGCAGAGGTTTGTGACGCCGTGTGACGAGGGGGGGGGAATCGTCCAAAATCGCGTGACGTCATTTATGGACGGCCCCTTAAAGTAGTGGTTGTTATAACCTGGGGTTCGTCACGCACCCCCAGGGGGTTCGTCACGCGCCCCCAGGGGGTTCGTCACGCGCCCCCAGGGGGTTCGTCACGCACCCCCAGGGGTTCGTCACGCGCCCCCGGGGTTCGTCACGCGCCCCCCGGGGTTCGTCACGCGCCCCCAGGGGGTTCATCACGCGCCCCCAGGGGGTTCGTCACGCGCCCCCAGGGGGTTCGTCACGCGCCCCCAGGGGGTTCGTCACGCGCCCCCAGGGGGTTCGTCACGCGCCCCCACGGGGTTCGTCACGCGCCCCCAGGGGGTTCGTCACGCGCCCCCAGGGGGTTCGTCACGCACCCCCACGGGGTTCGTCACGCGCCCCCAGGGGGTTCGTCACGCACCCCCACGGGGTTCGTCACGCGCCCCCAGGGGGTTCGTCACGCGCCCCCAGGGGGTTCGTCACGCGCCCCCAGGGGGTTCGTCACGCGCCCCACGGGGTTCGTCACGCGCCCCCAGGGGGTTCGTCACGCGCCCCCACGGGGTTCGTCACGCGCCCCCCACGGGGTTCGTCACGCGCCCCCACGGGGTTCGTCACGCGCCCCCAGGGGGTTCGTCACGCGCCCCCACGGGGTTCGTCACGCGCCCCCACGGGGTTCGTCACGCGCCCCCACGGGGTTCGTCACGCGCCCCAGGGGGTTCGTCACGCACCCCCAGGGGGTTCGTCACGCGCCCCCACGGGGTTCGTCACGCGCCCCCAGGGGGTTCGTCACGCACCCCCAGGGGGTTCGTCACGCGCCCCCACGGGGTTCGTCACGCGCCCCCACGGGGTTCGTCACGCGCCCCCACGGGGTTCGTCACGCGCCCCCAGGGGGTTCGTCACGCGCCCCCAGGGGGTTCGTCACGCACCCCCACGGGGTTCGTCACGCGCCCCCAGGGGGTTCGTCACGCGCCCCCAGGGGGTTCGTCACGCGCCCCCAGGGGGTTCGTCACGCGCCCCCAGGGGGTTCGTCACGCACCCCCAGGGGGTTCGTCACGCGCCCCCACCGGGTTCGTCACGCGCCCCCATGGGGTTCGTCACGCGCCCCCAGGGGGTTCGTCACGCGCCCCCAGGGGTTCGTCACGCGCCCCCAGGGGGTTCGTCACGCACCCCCAGGGGGTTCGTCACGCGCCCTCACCGGGTTCGTCACGCGTCCCCACGGGGTTCGTCACGCGCCCCCAGGGGGTTCGTCACGCGCCCCCAGGGGGTTCGTCACGCGCCCCCACGGGGTTCGTCACGCACCCCCAGGGGGTTCGTCACGCACCACGCATCCCCTGGGGTGCTTGATGAAGGAAAAATCATCGAAACACAAATTCAACACGGGCACGGAAGTACAACCACTTTGTTTCATCAAACCTACGCATTTATTAACATAATACATTTATATTTTTACGATTGAGAACCAAAGGGGTGCACATTTGCATTAACGGTTAAGAGCCACTGCCTTCGAGAGTGATTGTGTGTGTGCCGCGTGAGTGAAGTTGTGCAATACCCGGCGAGTTTCACGTCGTTGTTGTTGTTGTGCGCGTCCCAGCGAGACGGCAAACGTCGTCTCGCCACAGTTCAGTCGTCGCTGTGGACTTGGCTCAACACGCCCCCACACCAGCTGGTCGGCGGCTGTCAGCAGAAGCCATCCTGTCGCAACATGCGTTCGGAGCAGTGGAGGTGCGGGATGCCCTTTCAGAGAATCAAAGGCGTGCAAGGCTGCAGTCGAGTTTAAAACCGCTGGTTTAGATTATTTAGAATATTTTGCTGATATAAATGTCAAAATGACCAGCCGCTTTGTTGAGATATCATTTGTGGCCAGGTCACTTTTGAAAAAAGGTTGATACCTCAGTGGGCTTTGTCTGGTAGGATGGGGATGTTTAGTTGTTTGTGTTTGTGGGATTTGTTTTCTTTCCCTGTACGTTGTACTCCGGTCATGTGTTTGTATTGTTTGTTGATGTAACATCTGTGCCATTTTTGAAAAAGAGCTTCATAGCTCATCGGATTCCTCCAGGATAAATACACATCCCGAAAAACATTCTGAGGTCACCCTGTACGACGTGGATCCTGTACTTCAGCCCTGCTGTGGCACGTTGTCAATTTATGCTGTTAATGTTTTATTTACGTTACGTGGTCGTGTGATTTTGCGCGCAACGCGAGTGTGTTCTTATTTGATTCGTTACACGTGCGGTCCCGTTTAGTCAGTTGCCCGCCTATTTTACAGCAGCGACAAACGCAAAAGTGAGAGTGCCTGTGTTTAATCTGTTCGAGTGCCACAGATGATAGGCACTTTCATGTGTCCTGAGATGAATGGCGATGGTGATTAACAGAGCGGTGACATCGCTCAAGAAGTGCCTCCCATTGCCCCCCCCCCCTCGCCTGCGTTGAGAGAGCGGGGTCGTTTTTGGCCGACACTCGTCTTTGGATGATAGCGATGATCATGCATGTCTAGATGGTGAAGATGATGATGATAATGATGCATCGTCTGGATAAGGGAGCATTGTGGAGCCGGGGTTGCCTGGAGGAATTGGGAGAGCTCAGAGATCGAGCTATCTTTAAAGAGACACCCGCAATATGAACGGGCTGTCACCTGGTTAATAAAAGATGATCGATGTTCTGGACGATTATAACCATGCAGCAATATTACAGTGCGCTCGCCAAATGCACTGTTAATGGCATTTGATATGATCGGTGCCTTGTGTTTCTTGAGCGAAGGGGGGGCGGGGGTTGGTGTTTTAGAGGCATGGTGTTTTATCCTAGCTGGCCCATTATGTTTATGTGAACGTGGTGGTCTACTGCGTGCTTGGCCAGTGTCTCATCACTCCCTAGGCCCTCTCTTCCCCCCATTTGCATATGGCTCCATGCAGTGTTGAGACGGCTCAGTGGACTATGATGATGAATTATTCATCAAATATTAATGAGACCAGACGCAATCTCATCCCTGCCGCTCCATATGGGATGACCGCATCATCATGAAAGCACCGGGTAAGCCTGGTTCGTACTCGTGTGGGAGACTGCCTCTAAAAACTCGGTGTTGTCGGCTTGGGCTTATGAGGTGACCAGGAGAAGGCCGTAGAGCAATCTGTCTATGCAGAGCCTTGAGTATTTCACTGTCTTTTGAGACTCGGTGAGGCTTTGCCGGGTAAATAGTTGATAGCGGTTCTCAACTGCCAAATAACCCGGTTATGCGCCTATCAACCTATGGCCCACATAAAATCCAATTGGCGGATAATCGGATCTTCTTTGTATTGTTACCACATTAGATGAAGAGAGTGACAGTGTTCTATCCCGCTTAATGCGATTTGTTTTGACTGACCACCGCTGACAATTGGCCAATCGACGGGACTCCCACTCTCTCAAAACCCACCATCTAGCGTCTTCCAGAGTTGGCCAGTGTGTGAACAATTCAGTTTACAAAAACAACGGCAACAACCATTGTTTAAAGCCATTTGTCAACCGCCTGCTGGATGAAGACCTCCCT